GACAATAGTATTAATTGTCGTAATTTTTTAATGACTAATTTCCATCTGTTCAAATTTTTATTTCTCTACAGTACATGATTCGTTTCGTTTTGTTTTCTATGTAATCCCCTTCCTTTTTACCCTCTACTAATCCAACACGTCTAAAACCACTGACATAGGTACTGAATTAACTCCCAGAAAAGGGCAATGAAACAGCCTGTTTGTGCGTCGCTTGCTTTTTATGGTATATCCGCAGCGCTTCGTTGGTCCCCACTGCGCCAGATGATTCCGGACGTTGCTGCACTTTTGCATTATCGAACGCGTTCTTTGTTTGCCTGCCCCCAAGTGACATTTTGCGGTAGCGTCTTACAGTTCCAGTCACGAGGAATTTACTCCAATGTGGGGTTCCTGGATGACGACTTTGTGGATATCGACGCGCCCACTGAGCGGTGTAGCTCACAAGTGGAACCAAACGACAGAAGTCCCACTAGTACCACCACGACGCCAAAGATTGGTGAGTCCGACGTCGATAAGCCAGTTCTTGGGGTTGTACACAAACCACCCGAGGAGCCTGGCGCTGAGTACTCGCGATTCTACATTCCTTTGGAAACCCCTCGAGGGGGGAAGGCAATTCCGCGATACGACAGCCGTTCGCTGCGGAAGCCCGGCGAAAAGTCCCATGAGGGCGAGGAAGAAATGGGTGGGACACACGCCACGCCGCCGCAGAACGGTGGCGTAAAGGATCCCAAAGAGTCTGAACCACGGGATTTTAAATCCCCACTCATGCCAAAGGATTTGCTCGATTCTACGACACCAGACGGGGATGACATCACCGCTCATCTGATACACAGCCGTATGCCAGAGCCTTCTTCCTTGCCGTATGATGACGAGGCCTTTGCGGAAATGCTGCTTCAGATGGAAGTGGACGGTGTGATTGACGAAGTGTGGCAAGATGCCCAAAAAGCCCACGTGGAAGATGTCAAGGAGCTTTGTGAGGTGCTTCGGTCGCTCAAGGTGCGTGACATTTGTTGCATTGATGTTTCAGACAAAACCGCGAGTTTTGACTACATCGTGTCTGGGACCTGTGAAGGCCCTCGACATATTCACATCGCCTCGTGGGCAGCTCAGGAATCGGACTCATTGCATCGTATATCGAAAGTTAGTAGAAAAAAAACGGATGAACTGTGGGAGGTGGTGCCCATCGGGCGCATTTTGCTCAACCTTATGGTTGAAAGCTTACGCGAGGAACTGGCGCTAGAGCGCAAATGGGTGGTTACCCGTACCATGGACCCACTTTCGGCCGCAAACGCCCCTGTTTGTGAGGGCCGCCATGCTAAGGCCCATGGTCTGTGGACCTTGACGATGAATCTGCAGGACCTGGAGGATTTCGAAGTGGACTACTGCAAGGATGTGCTCTTGAGTCAAGCGTAGTGGTAGAGTATAGATCTGTATAAAATACCATCCACTAGCGTTTCCAGTTGGAGTTCCTGCTCCGTGAGCAATTCATACCAACTCCAAAAGTCATATATGCCTGGGACGAACGTTGGTTTTGATCAAGTAATCGTTCAGCAGGAAGCGTTAGGTCTAGAAAGCCGAAAAGAGTAGTTTGATATTAAGCACCACGAGAGGCATGTTATGAAAAATCCCGAGTTTGACTGTAATAAATTGTTTGGTTGTAGTAAAAAAGGATTTGATTTAGGTTTACACATTTGCTAGTGGTTGTCTGTGAATCATCGACTTGTCCGCCTAAAAGCAAGTTCTGTTGTCTTTAATAAGACAGCGTCTTACAAACAATATTAAGGTTGCAGAATTCAGGGTCTATAAGTGAATATATATTTATATATAATGTATTCACCTGAAATTAAAAAAAAATTATAAAAAAATGTATTCTACCAAAAGCCAAACTAATATTTTAACAATGCATGCAAGCAAGTCCGTTTTCCTCACATTCCCATTTATACACATATATAGCTATTTATATAACTATATGAAATATTGCGCCACCCCTTTCGTTACTTTTTGGCAGGAAACGCGATTTGGGTGTAAATCAGAAAAGTTTAAGGATAACAAGAGTGCTTTAGGTTAACGGTCCAACATGCCTTTCGGTCCGCCAGAAGCAATAAACACGCGCTTATGTAAAATTTATCGATGTAGGTTATTTCTAATTAAACTAAGTACGCCACCATAGTGACCTGTATAAAAAAGGTATATTTCAATAATAAGTAAAGAAAACAATTCTTTAAGTAATGAATCTGTAATATTTTTCAAACAAAGTAATGAATGATATGCACGCCTTTACGAAGGATTGCTACGGTTGGAGTCACATCACTTTTTTGATGATGACTGTCAATTCCTCTGCGCCAAGAATGGTTGGAACAGGGTATAACGGGTTTGCTTCGCTGAGTGCGCGTGATACCATCAGTGGAATATCATTCTTATTAATCATATATTTTTTATCTTTTCCCGATATCGTTTCGGGGATGTCCAGTTTTGCATTCAGGTCCCTGACGGCCTGAATAAACTTCTGAGCGCGCTCAGCGTCATTGCCCTCGGTAATACCTATGGCCCCCGCCAACTCGGCCAGACGACGGTGCGCAGGAGGACCATATGCTTCAAGAACATGTGGAAGAAGAACTGCGTTGGCGTAGCCATGAGGCACGCCGTACAAGCCACCAAGTGTGTGTGCAATCGCGTGAACGTACCCCACGTATGCACGTGTGAAAGCCAGCCCCGCGGTGTACGCGGCATCCATCATGGTCGTGCGGGCCTCGAGGTCTTTGCCATTGTTGTACGCCCTGAGAAGGCTTTTGAAAACGAGCTGGACCGCCGTATAGGCGTCCTGCTCCGTTTGCTTGGTCTGTAAGATGTTGATGTAAGCCTCAATGGCGTGGGTCAGCGTATCCATACCGGTCGTCGCGGTTACGAACTTGGGCAACGAGAGGGTAAGACAAGGATCCAGGACTGCATAATTCGGGAACAAGGAGAAGTCCTCGACGGGGTACTTTTCATTATTCTTGGCGTCAATTACAACGGCGCCCAGCGTGCACTCCGATCCCGTGCCGGCTGTTGTGGGAATGACATAAAGGGGCGGCAAGGTGCGTAAGACTTTAAAAACCCCGGACATCTGCCTAATCGTTTTGTTGGGCCGTACGACGCGTGCCCCGACCAATTTTGCGCAGTCAATGGGACTTCCACCGCCAAAGCCGATGATGTGATTACACTGCTTATCAAGATACAGCTTCAGGGCCTCCTCGACTTGGTCCTCAGTTGGATTGGGGGTCACGCCCTGGTAAATCACGACATCCACTCCCTTCTCCTTCATCCCTTTAATAAAAGAATCGAGGAGGCCAAGGCGCATGAGGTCGCCATCCGTCACGATCAGACCCCGTACCATTCCCTTGCTTTTAATAACGTCAGGAAGTTTGTTAATAGAACCCGGACCTTTCAGAAGCTTAGGAAACCTCCAAGGTATAAGATAGGCAGCAAGATACATGATACCCTGACAAGTGCGACATGTTCCCCACCACCATAGCGATACAGGCATTGGCAAATGTCTGAGAATAAAAGGTTTAAGCAAATATTTTAGTGTAATGAAGAAATTAGGTTATTATGCAAAAAAAAGTAAATTACTATGAGAAAAGAATAAGAAGGGATAGGAAATAAAATTTCCCGTTAGATTTCAAGAAAAATAATTTAAAGAGCCTGCGACAAAAAAAAAGAAGTGGTTAAGTAAGGAAATTTCCATAAATTTATAAAATTCTGTCCTGCTAAAAATCCAAGATTTCATCCAAAGGGTTAGGACGACGAGGCTTCTCCATGAAAGATAAGTGTTCGGCTTTATTATCCTTGCGCGTTACCAGTGGAATTTCTTTCAAAATAGATTCCATCCCTGGTTCCTGGTCTCCTTCCTTTTTATCTTGAAGCCTTTGTTGTGAGGGTCCATTCATCCCTTCATCCCAGAAACGGGCAAAGTAACACCACGCGCTGAGTAATTCGGCAATTTCATTGGTAGGCATTGATTTCACCTCCGCCTCTTCTAAATCCTGGAGGAGCGACCACGCCTGCTGCTCCAGCTGTTTACACTTGCTGAATTGGGAATTGCTGCTTTGAAGTTTGTGGTACTGTTGTATGGAGTAGAGTTGCGCCATAACGGGAGCTGACTCCAAGGGGTGCTTGGACTCCGAATCGGACGGTGACGAATGTCCCTCAGAAATGGTAGCGGAACGCCTTTGCCTAAACAGGGGTAGGAGAGCGCCACTCCTGTAACACATGAATCGTAATCGCTTCATTGGATTAACATGGAAGTATGTCTATATTAACTATTTTCCCGTTGACAAATGTCCGAGAACACCTCAAGAGATTTAACAGCAGTAATGAGAAAAGAAACAACGCAAGGAGGAAAAAAAAAAGAAAGACATTATAAGGGACCCTCACAATTATTTTGTGTACTTCAGAAGGCAACACAAACTCTTTTTCGTGTGTTATTATAATTGTATTTCAACGGTTACAATCTTTCATCAGTGGTCGATTTTGTCCCCTCAGATGCTGGTAGTTTACGGTGCTTTCGGTGCGTTACAATTGGTTCAGCACTTCGGTGACAAATAACCATCATCAGCTACGCATTCTCGTAGATACCGCTTATCTTCTGTACCTTGTCTGAATACTCGTATTGGTAGCTTTCAGATAACATGCCGCGCGCTCCCGCATGTGAAGAAGTTTTTCGATGCAATGGGTAAATGGCTCACTGAATGTCATCTCGCCGTCGATGGTGACGTTGGAAAGCTGATCGTCTAAAATGTAATCTACCACATTGTTGATATTGAAGTACGGGTATTCTCCCTGTCGCGGGCCTAGTTGTAGAAAGGAACTTTGAATCTAATAGCAGAATTCTCACTTCAACTTTAAGCACGGGATGCGGAATAAAGAAAATGACAAGTAAAAACATTTAATAGCGTAATGCAGCACAGTGAGCACGAAAAGATGGGTGGAAAAAAATTGAATCACGTTAATGCATTAGATCTTGGTTGTAAGGCTTATTCCTCATACCAAACAGGAAGCCATGTCAAGCATGCGAGTTGGCATTAACCATAAAACACCCAACAATTATATGAGGCCAAAAGAGTTTATATTGTAATTGGTGCTAGATTGTTCCTACTCAGGCTACTTCCCCTTGTTAGTGGGACCTTTACATAAAGTCATCCTCATCGGGTACTTCTCCGCGATTTGTCCGCATTAGGCGCTCGTCCATGACACTCGCATAGGTGCGGAGCTCCTCCTGGCGTCGATTTTCCTCTCTTTCTTCCTTTTCCTTCACTCGCTTCGCGTGGGCTACCTCACGTCCTTCACGAACCTCCTCCGCATCCCTTTCCTCTCGAAGGGCCTTGAAGTCGACCGAGTCCTTTTCAATCCGGGTTTTTTCAAGCCGTTTCAAAGTCACTGTGTCCTTCTTCACGACAGTGTGGTAACGCCGCTGCTTTTCGTCAGCAAAGCCTACCTGACCCACTGCCATCGATCCCGTCTTTACCAGGTTGGCCCAAGGCGTGTAGACAATCCGGATATTGTTCAGCTTACACCCCTCGATACTATTGGCCTTTGTGAGCTGGCAGCACTCCTCGATCATTTCGAGGCTGAGGTCGTCCATCGTTTTGCCCTTCGGCATGCGCACATAGACGTGGGCGCTACTGTGGTTGTCTACGTGGAACCAAATGTCCTCCGGCCAGCCGTGAGCGATTAACTCCTCGTTCTCGTACTTGTCGCGACCCATGTAGCACAACACTGAGGAGTTGGAAAAGAGCGTAAAGTAGAATACCATCTTCCTATTGGGGAAAATAACTGTAATAGGAGGGAAAAAAACAACTATTTTGGGAAACGTACGCGATAGTTTGGTACGCCAATAATTAAAGTTGCCGCACAAAGAATTGTTAAATGTTCAGAATAAAGAAAAAGTGATGAACCCGTTTTTTAAAAATTTAATATCGCATGTTATATATCTATACCCAATTAAAGAGAGAGTAAAAGATTGAAGGAGTTTCTAATTTATTGCATGTTTATTTCCATACGAAATAAAGCAAAAAATTTTATTCGTTAACAAGTTAAGCAACTGCACTCTTTTTGAGCGTTTTATATTCTCTATGGATGCCGCTTTCGTCCCCGTAAAATCAACTTCCCCAAATCGTTTTCGACTAGGAAGGTGTTTCTGACCGATATTCCTAGCACATCGACCAATCCTACTTAATATTAAAAGACCCACCCGATGTGAAGATCGCTCCTCCCCTTTCCCTTTTCCCTTTTTCTTAGGCAAAAAGAGGCTGGCCTGTGATGATGTTGAAGGAGCGGCGACTCGGGGCGCAGGCCCCGGTGCGCGAGCGGAGCCGCCGTGGGCTTCCCTCCGGCGTGGGGAGGGGGACGCCGCCCTTGAGGCAGGAGCCGCCCTGGGGGGATCGCGTGAGGCGGATGCCGCGGCGGCCCTCCCTCGCCTCCGAGGCGTCGGCGCGCCGGGGGAAGAGCCGGATCCCCGTAGTCC